CACCAAGGCGATGCCGGGCTCTGGGATCCCACCAGGTGGCAGCACGAGGCCATGGATGGGCCTGTTGGGGGTTCGGGGGTCCCTGTCGCTCCTCCCGCTCCCTTTGTCCCCTGTGCCTCCTGCCCTGTCCCTCCAGCCACCCGCTTCACCCTGCCCTTGTGTCTCACCTCAACCCTTGCCCCAGCGGGTCTGTCCTCAGCCGCCCCAACCCAACCCATGGGGTCAGCAGAGAAGGTCCCACCATCTCCTGGCCTCCAGCCCTGCAGCCCCACAAGCTCTGACCCATATTCCCCCCTCCCCAACCTCAAACCTATAGTCCCCAGGCTGGCCGAGGGGGGCGGGAGCAGGGGCAGCTCCTGTCGGCAGGTGAGACCTCACCTCCACCAGCTGCATGAGGTTTTCGAAGTAGACCTCCTCGTCAATGCTCAGCTTGCTGGAGGAGTAAATGATGCGGTAGTGCTCCACCTTCCCCTCGCAGCTGACGCACAGGGTGTAGTCCCCAGGGTAGTTGGTGCTCTCCCGCACCAGGAAAAGCCCCGTCTCGGGTGGGTACAGCAGCCGCTCCGCCTGCTCCCGCGTGATCTTCCCGTGAAACCACCTGCCACGGGGCACACATGGAAGGTCAAGGACCGGGGATGTGCTGGCCAGACACCCCTGTTTGGGGGGGATGGGGACGCGGAGCAGCCTTCATCCCTGCCTGCGCTGGACCAGCTTGCCTCTGCTCCTCCTTGTTGCCTCCCTCCACCCCACGACACAGCTCCTTCCACAGCATCCTCTTCCCATCCTCCTGGCCCCCCATCCAGGACTCAGCCCCTCTGCACACCCTTGGGGGCTTTCTCACCAGGCTTCTCCAGACTGAGGGTCACTGGTGGCTCTGGGATGCAGCAGGGACATCAAAACCATCTATCCACCCACCTATCTATCGATCTGCCTGCCTATCTCCTGTCCCTCCTATACAGATCCCATTCGAATCCCCCCTTCTTTCTCCCAGCAGCCTTTACAACCACTACTTTGGGCGAAAGACCCATTTTGAAATGCAGTCCAACCATCCATCATCCTCCTGGCTCTGCAGGCAGCTCCAAAGGTGCTCAGAGCTTTCCCCAGCAGCAGCGACTCCCAAATCAACGCTGCTGGGAAAGCCCAAGCCCTTGCCCCTTCTGCCTTTCAGCCTCACTATGCCCTGCAAGGGATGTTGCTTCTCTTGGGGCATGGGGTCAACCGGGTCTTTGGTCTGACACAGCGGGGATGCTCCAGACCCAGCCAGCTCCCCCCAAATTCACCTCAGCAGAGTCCCCGGCGGATACTCACGGCATGAGGCTGAGCTTGATCCCAGCTTTCACTCCTTCCCGCTTCTGCACATAGTTAGCGGGGATGATGCCCTCCCGGCCCACCTTGTTCTTCGCCTTGTACCAATTGGGATCCTGCGGGGACAGCAGAGATGCCACGACGAGCCCGCGGCCCCTGGAGCTGACAGCATCCCAAAGGAGCCCATGGGGGTGTCAGTGCTGCCCCTCCTTTCCCAGGCAGCTGCCTGCATGTCCCCAAGCTCCCCGGCACCCCCTGCCTGGCAGGATGGGGCGGGCAGGGAACAGCTCAGGGTCAGTGCTGGGGCCAGCAAACCCCCCGCAATGCTGGTGGCCCCACGGGGGTCACTGCGATCGCCCTCCCAGGCTGCTGGGCATCCCTGAGCCCCCAGCCCACAGCCCCTCTCTTTTTCTCCCCCGGTGCCGAGCACAGGATCGCTCCCCAACTGCGAGCCTCTCCCCTCCCTCTTCCACCTCCCGGAAGGCACTCAGGAGGCCTACATTTCGGAGGAACCTTAACTAACGAGGCTGTGAATTAATTAAGCAAACGCCTGGCCCGATTCCTGCCCTGCCGCCTCTGCGGGACTTCCAGTGGGACCAGGGGATCCCACCGGCACGGCAAACACCCTGTTGCAGGATGCAGGGATGTTCCCGGCATCCCGTGGAAATCCTGGCATGGGGGACGGCGTCAGCAGCCTGGGAGGGCCGTGGGGAGGCGATGGCCTTACCTTGGTGACAGCGACAATGGTGAGGACGTCTCCTTTGCTGAAGGGCAGGTCCTGCTCGGCGGTACCGTGGAAGTTGTACTTGGCGATACATTCTGTACCGGACGGCCAAACAGCCTGGCCAGGGAGAGGGGGACGGTGTCAGAGCCCGCCTGGGCATGTCTCCCATGTCCAGCTCCCTTCAACCCATGGGGACCCCCACCACAGGCACGCAGGGCTCCTGTCCCTCTGCTGCAAACCCAAACGGGATTCCCTTAAAGCAGAAGCAGTTTGAGGGATTTGGGGCAGCCCTGGGAGCTCAGATGGTGTTTTTTGGCTGGGATGGGGATAGAGAGGGACACAGACACAAAAACTGCAGGTGCCCATCGTGCTGGGCTTCTGCAGGGGGACAGGGACAAATGCCCCCCTGTCCCTCCTGAGCCCTGGGGCCACCTCTGAATGGCTGGAGAGCCAGCTCCATCCCTGTGTCCCCTCCCTGCCCGGCGCTTACCTGCATCCCTGACATCTTCTCAGGAGGTTGGGGGCCGCAAATCTCACAGGGGGGACACGTCACTTGGTACCATGAGACCTGCAGGGGGAAAGGACGGCTGAGAACCGGGCACGGTGGGGGGCGATGCTCCCTGGGCCACATGAGCAGCTCTTCTGCCGAGAAGGGAACAGGTCCTGTCCAAGGCACTGCTACCAAAATGTCCCCAAACCGATGGGAAAGTGGGAGCTCTGGGTCTGCTCAGCCCCCCGCTGCAGCCAGGGACTGGACCGGCACGGAGCAGAAGTCTCCCTCACCCATCCCCAGTGGCTGCCAGCAAGGCGGTTCATGGTGCCTGCAGCACCAAGGGGGAAACTGAGGCATGGGCAGTGAGGGGATCCAGCCAGCGAGGGGCAGCTCCCCCGAGCCCCACGCTCACACCTCAGCAAGCATCCCGGTCCCCTCCCCAGCAGCATCGGGGGCCACGCAGCTAGATCCCTGTTCTCCCACGGTGCCTGGTGACCCACGTGTGGAAACATCCAGCCCTGGGAGCTTCCCAGGCCTGGGATCCAAAAGAAATCAAGTAAATCTGTTCCCTCCAGGATAAAACCCATCGGCGCTTCGAGACACAGGAGCTCCCACTGGCTCCTAAAGCCCAGGGGGATGCACTGACTGTGGGTGCTGTGCCCCCCCTGCCAGTAGCACCCCGAGGCCCCGGGCTGGGTTGCATCCTGCCTCGGCGCGTGGGAGGGGAACAAACCCGGCTTTATTCTCACCACTTTGACCCCCGGAAAGAGATGAAGTCACCAGCCCCGGCTTCAAACCAGGCTTTCTTGGGCTGGGGCGCTCGGGTCGCGCCAGGCCAGGGGCACGGGGCGGGATGCGTGGGATGCAGGCAGAGCACCCCTGCCCGCGCACCCCAAAAAACACCCAGGTATTTATTAATTCATCGTATCGCTTCGGGGCCATCAGCAGCCACCGCTCCCAGCCCTGTTGTCAGCAGTTCAAAATATTTTGGGAAGGAGGAACCGAAACGAGGGGCAAGGCGGGCAGAGACTGGAGGAGGAAGAAGATAAGGGGCAGAACCGTGGGGAGGAAGACAGTGAGTGTGAACGCAGGCCTGTTTCTACCGCAGCCATGCCCGGACCCCTCCGGAAAAGACGTCACGCTGCCACCACCTCCCTCACCTTCCCCCAGAGTGGGGACACGCCACAAGCCGCTTTATTTTTGGCATCAGAGAGGAGAAATTGAGGCTCAGATGCTCACCCTAATGACAGGGTTTGGTGACCCAAAGCTGAGTGCTGGGGTTTCCAGTGAAGCCCATCACCGCAGCGTCTGGGCCCCCTGCGTCGCGTCAGTTTTCTTCCTAGCCAGCCCCTGGGGCTGTTGATGAAGAAAAGCCTCTGGAGGTGGCACCCAAACCCAACTTGATGGCATCCGTGAGCCTGGGGACACTGCCACGGGGGTGGCCAGGACCCAAGGGAGGGCAGCACTGCATGATGCTGGACCGGAGAGCATCAGCTGGGAATGCAGCCCCCCCCGAAACGGCCCCAGCTCAAACCCTCTTTGTTTTCAAGCTGATTTTTGATAAAATTCTGAACTTACACCTGGTGTGGAGCAAAAATTTTAGCAAAGGGTCCAGATATCGCCAGTCCGAAACGCAGCCCAGGAAAAATAGGGAATAAACTACACCCCTCCATCAGTCCATAGAGGGGTTCGGCTACAGCCTGGAAGGAGCTGGTTTAAGAAGAGGTGTCCCTGCATCTCTGCGGAGGGCATTTCCCACTGCCAGGGTTTTGGGCCCTGTTCCCCACCCGGCACTCCGTGGGGACGCCAAGCAAGAGCCAGCCCTGGGTGTTGCTCAAGGAGCAGCTCATCCCCAAAGCGCTGAGTCAGCGCTTCCCACAGGCCGGACGCCCCAACCTCGCTATTTTAAAATAACCAAAGGAGAAAAAGCAGCAGGACAGAGGTTTCATCTGAGATATGACTCCAGCCGGAAAACCCTGGCTGAGCTCTGCCCATGAGAGCCGGGTCAGGATGCTGGGGAGCATCACCTGGAAGGGACACCCAAGGGTCCATCCCAGGACCACAGCCCACCTGGAGGTTGGAAAAGCCTTTTTCCACCCCACGCAAGAGCTGGATCTTTCCAACTCCCAAGGCCCGTTGTTTCAGCTTTCAGCTCACAAATGTCACCGGCATTTATGTTTTATAAATGCAGAGAGGATACAAAATTTATAGCCTGCCTTCAGGCTTTCGAGCCTTTACAAAGGGTATTTTTTTTTTTTCTCTTTTAAAGAGGAAAGTGTTCCAGCAAACCCCGCCAAGAGGAACACGCTCCAGCCGGTCCCGGCATTTTTACCTTCCCAGACTGTGGACATTCGTGACATCAGACAGTGGCATTGTTATAAATATAGCACGAGAAATTTGCTTATCAGTTTTCCAGGGGTAGCCGGTTAACGGCACTGGGAACTGCCCTGTGCAGAGCTCCTGATGCCCCCTTCTACGTTTCGGCGCAGACCTTCTTCCTCCTGAGGGTGATTTTCAAGCAGCAACTGATTATTTTGGTTTTTTTTTTTTAATCGTTACCCAATTTCTGCCTCAAAGCCGAGGCTTTCCGAAGCGGAGGAAACCACATGCCCCCAAGAGCACCGAGCTCTGGGGCTGCTGCCAACCGGCCCCCCGAAGGCGCCGCTGCCTGCGGTGGCCTCATGTGACAGCCAGCGGTTCCTGCCGAGCGCGTCACCCGCCGTCACCCAGGCCGGCCCCAACCTCGTGCCCGCATTCGCTTCCGCCATCCCGGCGTATCCCCATGGGATGGCTGGGTTGGGAGAAGGATGCGGCGATGCCAGCACAGACCCAGAGCTTAAAGGCAGCATCCCCTGCTTTCCCTGCCGGCAGGCTCCGGGAAAACACTGCCATCGCCCCTTCTCTCTTAAAGCAGAGGTGCTTCCCCAAGGAGGATGTGCAGTAGCAGAAGTCAGCTTGAAAAAAAGAAATAATAATTAAAAAACAGCCAGGTGGGGTGCACAGGGGAAGCCACGTGCCTTTTCTCTGCTGAAAACCACCTCCCTTTCCTCCCCACCCTCCGCCCGAGCATCCTTCGAGCCGCTCTGCCAGGCACCCCAGCGAGGAACCTCAGCCTGACGCTGCAGCCCGGGAAGGGCCGAGGTTGGTGCTCATCCTCACTGCCTCCCTCCCAGCCCTGCTCTTGGATTTCCCTCTGGGAAGCCCAGCTCAGCCGCCAAGAGCCAGGGAAAGCGGGCAGGATAGGTATGGTGAATAGCTTTGCCACCCTGATAATCCAAAGGGCATCAGGGAAACAAGTCGGGGAAACCTTTCCTCTCATTAATCACCAGTCAAAATTGTGCTGTGCCAAACCTGCAGGCAGGCTGGGACTGGCGCCCGGGACAGGAATTTGGGACCCCCAGACCTAATACCACCCGGACCAGGGGGTGGGGGAAAAGATGTCACATTTCCATTTTGAACCCAATTAGCCGGAGGGGAAACGAGAAGAGGAGCCTGCCCAGCACCAGCTGAGGATGACTCTATTTAAAATAAAGTTTAGCAGTTGGCGGTAGGAAAGCTTCATTCCCATCAGAAATAGGCATTCGGGCGCCATCCACATCCACCCCGCACTGCTCAGCCATCTCACCTCACCGAAACATCGCCCAACGCTCAACAACCTGAGCTTCTTTAAACTTCAAAAAAGAAACCAACCAAAACCAGACAACATCCTTACTCTCTCCAAAAGATCTTATCACCTGTTATTACAAGTAACACCTACGATTACTATAATCGAAAGAAAAACGTTCCTCCTTGATCTCAGCAGCGAGCTGGCTGCACTTGCAGGGAGGGTTTTGCTGCTGCTCCCCCAACTCAGCCTCGATTGGGTGCCCCACTGGGGGAAAAAGGGGGGGTCCTTCCTTTTTTTTTTTTTTTTTTTTTTTT